TCCTACTACTCCTATGGCCACCAAAGTCAGCAGTGTCCTCCCCTGGATTCATCATTCACAAGTAAAGACAGCCACCACCGTGCCCCTGGAAACATGGAAAAGTCGTCAAACCAGCTACTGAAGAAGATCCTCTAAAAATAAGACTTTTGCAGGCCCCGGTATCTTAATCATATTCCTTGCATACTTTCCCCAACTTGAGGCCTATTGGCCTAACCCACGTAATCCCTATACTCCAGGAAACTATTCCTGGGAACTGAAAAATACCATCACTGGGACCATAATTACCACCTACAGAGGAAGCGGGCAGCCTGTCTTTAATTTTGACCTTTGAAAATTATGGCCAGGTCTAACCCTCGGGGGCACACACACAGATGAATGTGGCACCTTAACTTATAAAAAAGAACTTAAATCTGTTGGTTTTTATGCTTGCCCAGCATCGGGACCAGCCTGTTGCCACAAAGCAGGACAATACCACTGTGCTGCATGGGGGTGCGAAACTATTGATCCTTAAAAAAAACCGAGACCCATACATAAACCTCCTTGGTTATGTTAAAAATAGTGTGTCATCAGTAAAATTAATGGTCCTCAGAACTCAATATAATCCCCTGTATAAAAAGTCAATATTTGACTCCTGAAACAACTGAAAGAGGGGAATGTGAAAGGGGGCTTAAAAAAAATGTACAATGTAAAAAATTAGACAAAGCATGAACTCAGCCTTTGCACAGTTAAGCAAGTACTCTGCCTTTATACAGTTAAAAAATTCCCCTCCTGGAAACTGGAAACAGCACCTGTTGGCTAGGTTAAACTGTTTAACAGTTTTTGGGTTTTTTTTTTCACTTCTGTGAACCCCGCTAGCATTGCTTGAAAAGTACCTAGGCCTCCAGGATGTTGCAGTTTGGCCCACTTGGAAAGTCCCAATGTGGTGTTGCCCCATTAAAGCAAGCCCCTATAGAAAATGGGGGCCATTGCTGTGGGACTGGCATGTCCAGCAGACAAGTGGCCACTGGCTGGCTCTTGGCTAATAAACCTCTCCTTTTTATAACTTGTACTTTTGGTGTCAGTGTCTGTGAATTAAGCGCTCAGTCCCTATTTCAGCAGAAGAAAATGAAAAGTGATTGAGTCACTTTATCACAAGCTGAAGTAATATAACTCAGCATTTTAGCCTTGAAATATATTTTAAAGTTTATTTTTCCTACTTGATCTTAAAATGTAACCTTAAAATATGTTTTACAAACTTCTCTCCTCTTCCCCATGAGACATTCTCTTGCTCCATGTACGTTTATCTAACTATATGCCTGCTTAATAATTCCAGGGCCTAATCTTGAAACAGACCAGGGATGAAGACCCAGCCGTGGAACTCTCTCCCACCTAGAACCTACTTTAAGGCAGTTAAGCTATCACCAGGCTGTAACCAGGATGGTGCCAGCCTGCACCCCAGATGGACAATAATTCAAAATAGCCATCATCAGAATGAGATATGCAGACCTGCACCCTGTGCCCCTCCCGCATGCTCCCCATACCAAGCTTCCTTTTTTAAACCACTCAGCCCAAAAGCTAAGTTGGTTTCTTTGAGATGTGAGTTCGGCCAGCTCCTCCACGCTGGCATTTGAATAAAGCTAGTTTCCTTGCACCACATCTCACCTCTTGTGTATTCAGCTTTTTAGGTGGCAAGTGGCTAAATCTGAGTTTGTTTGGTTACTGTAAGACTTTTGGCTTATTCATTTCTAAAAGTATGTGACCTGAGAGACCAAAATAGACACTCTTTTATAGACTAAGACTCTAAGGTTAAGGAAACAAATGTTATCTACATGTTGGGTTGAGGGCAGGCCCTTGCTAACATGGCAAATTTCCAAATTGTAGAACTAGAAGAAAAACCACACCCTTGTTCAACTCTTTAACAATAGGAACTATCAGGCTGACTTACAACCCAGACCACTACAGCTGTGATTGGACAGAGGACCAGCCTTGCAAACATTCTTCTCTGATAAGCAGTTGTAGATCTTAGGCCGGTGTCAGCAGCTTATGGAGGCTGTGTACAAACCGTATTTGTGTCCTGTAGTCTACTTTCTGACATAAAGAGCCAAATTCCACCTCATTTTAGTGCTAAAATCCTGCCCCAAAGTGAACATGGGATTTGTTCTACATACATGTTTACCCAATCTGCATGCACTTGGTTCCCTCATAAATACGTATAGCTTTCCCCCAAACCTGCTAAGTATGTGTGATACCAGCACTTTGAGGCATAAAATCCAGCTTATCTTTCCCCTCTTCCAAGGGAGACCACCTTAAGCCTACACTGGTGACTCTTCCTGGCTTGCAAACCAATACCACTATCAATAAAGCTCTTTTTTCTACTGTATAACTGCCTTGGTGGTCTTTTGGACCATGCATATTAGAGAGAGCTTTAAAAAAATAAAAACAAAGAAACAAAAAGGAACCAGGGCATCAAAATTAAGCACAGAAGAATTTTAATGAGGGAAATGGGACTAAGAGAATATAAAGAAAAAATTTCAGGACCCTTAAAATCACTTTGCCAAAGGAAAAGTTAAACCTAGAGACCAAGTCACACAATGACCATCCTAAATGGATAGTCACTGTTTCACAACCTTGTGTCAGAGCATTATGTATTAGTCAGATCCCCCCTACCCTCACAAAAAGACAAAAGGCCTCGTGCATCTTCAGTGACTACAGTGACTGCCTTCACAAATTGTTCATACATAAATTCTTTACCAGCCTCTAAACCAGTTAATGTGTATATCATCCCATAAAACAAGGACATGTCCATGATAACTGTAGGTCTGCAATCTAAGCCTGGCTCCAGAAATTAAAATCTATTTGATAATGTCGATTATAAGCTTATCTTCCCAGATACAGAACAAAGACCAAGATGAGATCAATCATTCCTTCACCTACCCTGAGATGTCTGTATAATGTATTCTTCCTTTACTTCCTTTTCCTTTGAACGTTTGCTTTACCTTATGTAAGACATAGATTTGCTGGGTACTAATTAAAGTCTCACAAAAATTTGCCTCATTGCTTACCTGCTTCTTGTACATGCCTTCTCCCCTTTAAAGAAATGTATAAATACTGAGCCTCCTGGAAACCTTTTTGGAGAGCACAAACCACAAACATTTCTATGTGTTTTTCCCAGGTTTCCCTCATGTGAGATTGTAAGGACTGATTTTGAAAGGATAAAATTAATTCAGAGTTGTATACAAATTAAATATTAATGCTAACAGAACACTAGTGCAAGGCCAACATCTGAAGCCCTGTGTCAGAATAACAAGGTTTTCTTAGAGCATTGGTGTGTTCTCTAATAGAAAATTTCAAAAGTTATAATAAGTTTATAAAGATCTTACCTTGTGATGAAACTGATTAAAATTATATAAATTTATTTATAAGGTTTTATTAAAATTGGTTTTTATGTTAATATATGAATGCAAAGATGAAATTTAGTTTTCTCTTTTAACATGGTTTTCTTATAATTTAAGATAACAAGAATAATCTTTACCATTTAAGAAAAAAAAAGTATGTATATGTTAATATATATATTATGGGGATGGAAGTTTCTCTCATTATCCTACAGAACTTGCCCTTCTCCAGGCCTCTGCCATCTAACTCTGCCTTCCTCTGCCCATCACCATCTACCTACCTTCCAGATGCCCGCTTTCAGTGAGAATTTGGGCACCTGGGCTCATATTTTTTCTATTAAGATGTTGGGGCTCAGAAAGTGATACACCAAAAACTAGTGTCCTTCCTTAGAGCCCACCAGTTCCTTCCCATCAACCACAATGTGGCTTCCAGCATTTTTTACATATTAGTAGACTTTTTTTCTTTTTTTTTTTTTTTTGAGTCAGGGCACTGTTGCCCAGGTGGGAGTGCAGTGGCATGATCATGGCTCACCTCCTGGGCTTACCTCCTGGAGTGCAGTAGCATGATCAGCCTCAATAACCTGGGCTCCAGTGATCCCCCAACCTCAGCCTCTTGAGTGGCTGGGATTACAGGTGCACACCACCACCAGTTAAATTTTTTTTTAGTAGAGGCAAGAGCTCACCATGTTGGCTAGAGTGGTCTTGAACTCCTGGACTCAAGCAAACCCCTTGCCCCAGCCTCCCAAAGTGCTGGGATTACAAGCATGGGGCACCGAACCTGGCTAAGGAGACTCATTTAAGATTAAAAATAAAGATTTCACTGAGTTCTGTGATATACATTTAATGAGAAATATATAATAACTATGATGTCAGTAATCTATTACATAAAATTGATTTTTGTTATACAAAATGGTAATTTGATAAACTGCAATATGTATTTATGCCAAATATTTTTTGCATGAAGAGCTTATGCCCTTTGGCCCAATGTCAGGAAGCAATGGCTACAGAATAGACAGCCTGTGGGATGCTTCTGGCCTGCTCACCTCTGCAACCTCACTTCCCATCTCACTTTCTGTTTAAGCAACATGGAACTGCACGCACACACACACACACACACACACACGTTCTGCCAGCAATTAATTGGTACGTAATAAGTGCTTTTTGAAAGAATGATGGATAACATCCTTAATGCTACTTTGTAGCAAAACTTGGTGTGCAATTTATAGGACTATTCATAATGGTCTTTGAGAAAAGTTGAATGAGTAACAATATAATTCAGTGAGGGTGACTTAGTTATTTAAGAAATAACTATGGTCCAGTTAAGAAGCTTCTTAGCGGTCTAACTTAACCCATGACTAACCTGTGACTTAAGAAACATGTTCTCTGATTTGTATTTCTCAGCCAGATGCTTGCTTGGGACTGGAAAGTAAGCAGTTCAAGATGATGCGCTCCATGGGAAAAGAGAAAGGGGAAAAGGCATCAAAAGCTGACTTCAGGCTGTAAACCCCTGAGCTTTGGAAACGCATATATCAAGTGGGGAGGTAACCTTTGGCTCTCAGCCCTGTGGAATGGAGAAAGGGAAACAGGCCCTCAGTAGGCTTGTTCACAGTACAGGAAGCAGGTACTCACCGTGGTCACTAACGCCACCTGCCAATTCTTCAGTCGCCATTCACAGCGGATGACAGGAGACACAACAGCTATTAACATGATCTCCATGGCCTCGACAACCTTAAAGAATAAATAGTACACAATGCCATGGCTAAGTACTAGCTTGTCGTTATTTCTTCCCAGGTCTGCCTATCATCCTTTCTAGTCCTAACCTCCCACCCACCTCCCCCACTTAATGAGCACCTACTGCATATGCACACAGCACTGCTAGTTGGTGAAGAATTACAGTAGAACATCTACTTTCATGGATGTGACCTTTATGGTTTGAAAAATTTGAGAGGGTCCCCAAAGATTTATGACATATATTCACTTGTGATTTTGCTCACCTATGCATGTGGATGGTAGCACTATGGGGGTACTGTGTGGGGCTAGTCACTCAGCTAGCTCACCACCGGCGTCCATACCAGCTAGCTTTGCTGTTTTGTATGCATCATCATGAAGCTGCAAGGCATATTCCTTGCAAAGAGATTTTTGAGTTTTTTTAGTTATTTTTGTTGTTGTTTTGAGTCAGAGTCTCACTCTGCTGCCAAGGCTGGAGTGCAGTGGCACGCTCATGGCCACCACAGCCTCCACCTGCTGGGCTCAGGTGATCCTTCTACTTCAGCCTTCCAAGTAGCTGGAACTACAGGTGTGTGCCACCACGCATGGCTAATTTTTTTGTTGTTTATTATAGAGATGAGGTCTCGCCAAGTTGCCCAGGTTGGTCTCAAAACCCTGGGCTCAGGCAATCCTCTCACCTCTGCCTCCCAAAGTGCTGGGATTACAGGTGTGAGCCACCACACCTGGCTTCAAGGAGATTTTGGAAGTAGCCTCTGATCTCAAGAGACTAGGATAGGAAGATCCATGAAAGCTGGGAGATAATAAAGCAACTGTACAAAATAATATAAATCCAACACCAGCAAAGGATATCTATTTAGCAAACAGTGTAGGATGTGCTACTCAGTATTTCTTCAATATCAAATTTGAGTATCATTCTCTATCCATATCTTGCAATCTATCATGGGGTAAATTTGTCTCCCAAGGGAGGGAAGTAGATTCTAGAAAAGAGCTAAAATAAAAAATAGAAACAGATGATGAAAATTAGGTGCAAGATCAGGAAAGATGAGTCAGAGATGATTCTGAGGATTTGTGCCTTGTGGAAGGGAAGAACATTTATATCACTGACACGGACAAGGTTATCGGGAGGGAAAAAAGGGAATTAAAAGAGGAAATGATGGATTTGTTTGGGACATGTTCTATTAATAGGAGATCTGTTAACTTGGAGACCTGGGATGAGAAAGGTAGAATGATGTTAGCTCATGTGTGGGAACTTGAAGTGCACTTATAATGACTTGTCTCTTCTTGGAGAGTAGTACAGTCAAGTTCTGAATTCAGATGGCTGGTATATTTTAGCAATAAAAGTATCAATAATCAGAGATAGCATGATTATCTCAGAAGAATGTATGATTTATTAAACCTATCTCCTTGAGTAATATGGAGCAGCTGGGTAAATTTTTATCAGGATGCTGTACTTCTAAAGCGTTCTAGAAGGAAATAAACCAAAAAAGAATAAAACTCTTCCACTTTTCTCCCTCATGGGAGAAGGAAGAGCCAGGAGCCAGGGTGGGGTACACGGAGGAGTTTTACTTTATAAGATCTTAGGAGAGCTCATGGGAGGTATTAGAGAAGACCAGGACTTAGGAATCTTGGTCACAGCAGAGGCTGTGCAGCTGTTGTGGATGCTACTATATACATCTAAGTCATATGAGGCCCTGAAACCCAACTACTGCTCTGAATGCCTCTGAACAAGAGCCTGAACAGGAAGAGAGGCTGGGGCCCATTACTGTGAACGTGTCTATTTTGATGAGAAGATCCTGTTCACAAAGCATCTCATCAGGGTGAAGGATTTGGTTACCACACCCAAATAAGCCATTCTATTTTCCTTTGTGTATGTGAGACAGGGAGAGGGTAGGCTGGTAAAAACCCCTTCCTAGCCGGTGGGCTGGGACAAATTCAGAAAGACTATAAGGCATTTAAAGAAGACCAGAGGCTATTTCACTCTCTTGGAGATGTTGCACTTGAAGGCAGAGGAGAGTTGACACTAAAACTCTACTCAGGCGTACCTACTTGAAAATGGAATCTTAAAATTTTGGAGCCTGTGAAAAACTTCACTTTATATATGAAGAAATGTTCTAAGCTGTATTGTCGGTTATTATCAAAGCAGGACTAGGACACAGCTTGCCTTTCTCTTTTTTCTAATACTAGACTGTCTTCTGAGAATGCAATGCTTTTGAAAGATGCATCAGAATATATATGTTACCCCCAGCTCACAAGGCTCTTCTTCTTATACCAGTTAGCTGAACGGAGAGCATCAGTGCACACGAGTATTTTCTCACTCTTCTGTCTCCCTCTAAGGTATCTCTTTATCCTCCCATCCCAAATTGTGTTGACCACTTGTCTTTGACTTTCCCTTCTGTATGATTATCATTATGCATCTCAGCGGGGAGTTCTTAACATAGTCTTACTCCACCTACAGAAGGAGAAAGCAGGAGTGGTTTTGCCATTTCACAAACATCACCACCGTTGTGAAAACCCCAGGACTGAGGAGTAATTCTTCTTTTCTCTAAATAGCACATGGTGAGTGTTTTAGTCCATTTGCACTGCTATAACAAAATGCCCAAGACTGTGTAATGTATAAACAGACTTTTTCATTTATATTTTTCCAACTGAAGGAACAATAATTTATTTTCTCACAGTTCTGGAGGCTGGAAGTCCAAGATCAAGGTGTCAGCAGGTTCTGTTGTCTAGTAAAGGCTGCCCCCTCTGGAGGGGAAGGATATCTGTCCTCACATGGTGCAAGGGTGAGCAAGCTGCATGGCACTGCATGAAGCCTCTTTCATAAGGACCTTAATCCCAATCTAGAGGGAGGCGCCCTCTTGGTCTAATCACCTCTTAAAGGCCCCACCTCTTAATGTGATCACATTGGGAAAACCTGCGTTTTGGAGGGAACACATTCAAACCATAGCAGTAAATAACAAACTTTCATCAGTGCCTCTTAAAGCACCTGGAAATCTGTAATTATAGAAGGTGTCTCAAGTGATTCTTACACACAAAATGTTTGTTTGATTTTACATAGATTAATGCCGTTGTTTACTCCCTTCTCCCCAATACTTCAATTTACGTTATTTTTTGAATGAGTATTTAATTCCTAAAACACAGAGACACAAATATTTATTTGCTCATAACTAAACACCTGCCAAATGTGAATGAAAGTGATTTTCGGGTGTCCACCTCACAGGATTCCTGCTGCCTTCCACATCCTTCCCATCCCCCAAATGAACAGCCCAGAGCTAGAGGTCAGAGGAAGACTCTATGTGTTCAACAATGCTAGCTTTGGAGGCTCACACAATCTCCAGGGAGCACTCACCCCAGTGCTGCCCATGATCAGAAACAGGGCAATGTGGAAACGTCCGAATCCGATGGTCTCCACTGCATCTTCCACAGTGAATGTCTTTGACTCTAACAAGAAAAGGCAACATGGAAGGAAGAGAATGCATGTGGATGATTTCTCACCTTTGGGGGGCATTGGAAGACCAACTCAGTATAAAAACTAGGTAATCGGGCAACCTCTCCAGGTTCCCTCCCACTGTGGGAGCTTTTCTGTCCTCTTAATAAATCCTGTTTTCAAAAAAAAAAAAATAGGTAATCCGAGGGAAATTAAGCAGTAGCTTGAGAGCTAGAGACTTCTGTGATAATCTCACCTTTCAGCTGCGGCTCTGGGGTCCCAAGGCTCAACTTCCGAAGGCTAATGATTGTGACAGGCTCTGTCTGTCTGGTTGCCATCTTCTAAATGGTCTGAATTTTCACACAACTTCTCTGATGGAAGTGAGGGAGGGGAGAAGGGGGGAAATACAGTGATTACTGAGTGTATATTATGTGCTGGGCACACCACACACAAAAATTCATTAAGCCCTTGCAAAAATCTGATGAGGAACCTTTTGTCATCCATAACCATGATGATTGGGTATTGATTGGGTGTTCACAATCATGTGTGAGATACGCTTGACATCAAACCTTGTTACAATGTCAGCACATTACCTGTCTGACATGGAAAAAAATCTAATGAAGTATTTTTATCCTTATTCAAACATGGCCTCTGGAACCAGACATCTCAGTGTTTCGATTATTTCCCTGCTGCTTACTAGGTGTGTGGTTTGGAGGAATCTGTTCTTTGTACTACTCAGTTTCCTCATCTCTAAAATGGGAATAATATAATAATTGCACTTAACTTTCAAGGTCATTGTGAGGATTAGGTGGGTTAACATTCAAGGTCATTGTGAAGATTCGATGGGTTAGTCCATAAGAAGTGCTTAACCCATACCTGGTATGTACTGATATGTTCAATAAATGGGAGTTATTACTATTATTACTGTTTATTAAGGACATGTTTTTTGCTAATTGTGCTGGGCACTTTACTTACATGGATTATCTCCTTTAATCTTGACAGAAAATCTGTGAGGTAAGTATTATAATTTATCACCATTTGTCATATGAGGAGCCTGACAGATGAAGAGATTAAATGGCTAAATTAGACAATAAGGCTAAATTAAGAGGCCAAATTAGACAATTAGGCCTCTGTGGCTAGTGACCAACTCTGAATCAGGGGACCAGAGGCAGGTCTTGACAATGTGGACAACAGCATCCTCTGACTGGGAGGGAAGATGGTCCTTGCTATAGAAAAATAATCATTGAAACCCGCATTTTTCCATAGATCCTATGTTTACAGTGTACTTTCTAACACAGCACTTTCATTTAATTTTGACAGAAGCCCATGAAGTGCTTCCTTTTTTTTCTTTTTTTAAGTGAGAGTCTCACTCTGTCATCAGGCTGGAGTGCAGTGGCACGCTCATGGCCACCACCCCCTTGACCCGCTGGCTCAGGCGATCCTTCCGCCTCAACCTTCCAACTAGCTGGAACCAAAAAAAAAAAGAAAAAGAAAACAAGGAAAGATGGGTATCAAGTTATTGACTTAGATACACAGATAAACTTTTTCAAATGATTTTAAGACACAGAAATTTAATTGTACATCCCTAGTGGGATAAGCAGAAATTCTAAACTGCTCTCAGTAATAATACTTATATCATTATTTTGATATAATTATTGTAGGATAAGGAAAATAGGTAATTATGTTAATATTGTTAGAAACAAAGATTCTCATTGTAGTGGAAAAGATGAATATGAAATCAAATTTAGTTATATAAAAACTTATAAACCTAATTTTGAATTGAAAATATCAATATGAAATTATTATGTAATTTATTATATATGGTAAGTACATATAATAAACAAATATAAACAAAAACAAACCCAGGCACCTTAGATAAATGGCTGATTCTGATTTGGGGACAGGAAATGCACTGGTTGAGCCTGACACATCTTTCATGGAGTATAGCATGGATGATATAAAAGACACCTGGGGTTGTAATAAAAGACTCAAATTGAAAGATGGGACAATTTGAACATCAGAAAGAATAATGACTGGAAAAAACTGAAAGATGATAAAAGCTATCTGCTTATAGTAATACTAAGATGAAGACCTCATCGGTGACCTTGGGGGAATGCTAAGACACAAACTCATTATTCTGAAAGCCAGTAAGTATCTTGACTTGTTTGTACAAATTGTCTGTACATCAGGGTAATCAATCAGGTGATGAAAAAATTATCTGTGAATTTTAGCTAATACATGCAGAAAGAAGGACGAAATTAAATTATCACTATTTTGCACCTCCTAAAACAATAATGAATCCAGGCAATGATCATCAGTGGCTGGTAAACTATTAAGGGAAAGGCTGATGGAGAACTTTGCTATGAGATAGATAAGATTGATAACGTCTGAACCCATGGAAAAATCCTACTGCCACTGAGAGAGGCAGATCGTATGTAGCCCCTGTTGAGAGGCAACAGCAAGAGTATAACATCACCTGTGTGATCACCTGCGTAATCTCAAGTAATTGAACCCAAATCCAGTCAAGCCTCTACTTCTATCTACCAGTTTATAAAGAAAATGAAGAAATGTGTTGAACTGCACCATGTGATGCAAGAGGAAAAATTCAGAATGCAAAAAGTTGTATAGGATAAATGATCTAGATTCTTCAATATAAATGTCAAGGGGAAAGAAAGAGGAAAGGAGAACCTATAAACTAAAATCAAAGAAAGACACATCAACCAAACACTTAAAAGGATCTTGTTTGGCTCTTTTTTTTCATATCTCAGTTGTATTTTTATAACTACCCAGTTTGTTTTCAAAACAATCTTTTCTGATATACGTCCATACAAATTTCACATTGGTTATTTCAAAGTACACAAAAACTACCTATATTTACCTATAAATTTATTAAATGCTCATGAAAGAATACTTAACATATCAGTATTCAAGCATGCCTACAAAATACAACTCTTTCCAACTTTTAAATTATTTTTTCCCACCTAAGCCAATTTATATTTGACATCTGGGTTACAAGTACATAAAAAAAGACAGACACATTCCTCAATGCTATATTTTAAGCCAGCATAAATGTGTCCTTTCTGGATGTGTGTCCTTTCTGGGTGTAAGCAAGTTTTCAGAGGGAAAGTGATACAAATAGGAGCAAATGAGTCAACCTCTTCATGAAATAAACTAGACCAAATCAAGAAGTTTTAAAGGTGTTCAAAACTGAGACCATAAATCTTTCTTTCCCATTTCTTACACATACAAGTGTGCACAATGGGTGTGCATGAATTAAAACACTCCTATTTAGATTATGAGCTCCTACAGAGGGGGCTACTGTCTCTCCATAAAAGGTTCCAGGGCAAAGAGAGAAACAGCACAGGGAGCAGAGGGCACCTGTCCTTCATCAAGTGATCCACACAAACCTACTGAAGAGGTAGACTACATTGCCTAAGCCTCAAGGCTGAGGTGTTGACCTGGGCCAAGTGATGTTTTACTTCATTATGCTTTATTTTGTTGTTATAGATGTTGCCTGTCCCACTATTTTTGTAACTGGGGCAAAGTGAGAGGTTCAAACAGTCTAAGAATGCTTAACATATCCCATAAACTATCTCAATCAAAGATTTTTATTTATTCTTCTGCCAAACACAACAGGTCTCCATCTACTCTATTTTTTAAGGTAAGAAACAGTAAGTGAGCTGAAGAAAGAGCTGGGGCCTTGGACTGTGGAAAATTATTATATTTTAGCACGCTGACTGAGAAATGCAGGGCATCAGTGGGGTCTAGAGGATGGCCACATCGGGACATGGTCAGCCTTAGTGGGCCTTCTCCAAGAATGCTCTGCAGCACCTGACACATTGCTGGTACACTCTCAAAGTCAGAGTCATTCCCATAATAAGGATCTTCAATAATAAGTTGTTTTTGTGGACATAGCTCCCAAGTAGTTCAATTTTAGCTCTGCAGTTTTTAACTTGATTACTTTTTCTATTCAAATCTCTCAGATTGCTTGCATCCATACATAGTATGTAATCAAACGTGACAAAGTCTTCTTTGGTAATCTGCTGGGCAACGTGGTTCATGGGAATGCCTGCCTCTTCAAGCAGCTCTGCCCTGGGTAGTCAGGGGGGGTTACCTATCGCATACCCGGATGTTGCAGTGCTATCTACCCCCCAATTCTCTGAAACGTTTTGATCAGTTACAAGTTTCCTGAAAACTGCCTCTGCGATGGGTGACCGACAAATGTTACCTAGACACACAAACAGCACCGACTTGGCCGCCAGCTCCGCCATCTTCCCGCGCGCCGAGGCGCCCAAAGACCGCTTGTTTGGCTCTTAATTCAATCAAATCAACTATTAAAATAATTAAAAGTAGGCCAGGTGCAGTGGCTCATGCCTGTAATCCCGGCACTTTGGAAAGCTGAGGCAAGAGGTGTTGAACCCGAGATTCTAATCAGAGAGAGAGAGAGAGAGAGACCTCAAAGAGCCAGCTCCGATGAGAGAGAGAGAGAGAGAGAGAGAGAGACCTCAAAGAGCCAGCTCCGATGAGAGAGAGAGAGAGAGAGAGAGAGAGACCTCAAAGAGCCAGCTCCGATGCAAACACACGAGGGTCTTTATTCAGGCTCGAGTCTTGGCTCACGCATGAAACCCGTAGAAGCTTCATGAACCAGAGCCCCGATTCACAATGGCAAGCAGTTTTTATGCACAATTACAGAGGGAGGGGAAAGAACTTTAAACTTGATTTTACATGATTGGGTAATTTCTCCTAATGGGTACGGGCACACTTGGTATTGGTTGGTGCCTTTCCTGGGTTGCCCATGATTGACAGAAACCCACTTAATGGGCAGAGTGGAAGTTTAGATAAGTTAAATCCATACAGTCACTGCGTATATAGTAACCTGAGCTGGCAGGTAAAGGGTTACATTTAGCCCTTTAAGTTTACTAATCCACCCCAAGGTATGCTTAGGAAAGCTTGTTTGCTTAACATTTACATAACATAACATGGTCATTATGGGACAACAAAAGCCAAACTTAACAAAGTTTTAAATATGAATGCTGCAAACACATACAGTGAATGTGGGGTAGAAATTCATATTCTAATTCTGGGAATTTATAAAATATCACAAACGTCTTATAGCAAGG